TTAGATTAATCGTAAGTGTTTTCCCAACTGCACCTGTATCCAGCATTTATGCTCTTTTAGGAGAACCTTGCTATACATCACCGCCGCATTTACCTCGGTCTATCACATACAGCCTCAGTTGCGTGCAATATTTCAAAGCCAATATATCAAAATACTTTTACAAATAAATATGTAAACTTATTCCAAGATATTCGCTAATACTAAAAAACCATATTACGAAAGAATTAAATCCATTCTCAAAACCTAAAAATTAATTCTCCGGACTTTTTCTCCTCGGATATTAAATACCCCGAGCCTTGGCTGATCGATATACCAACTTGTGATGCATCTCTAATGTTTTTAGATAAATATTATACGCACAATTCTCTGATTCGGTTTAAGTTTGAGGCCCTTATAAATAAGTACCCCGATTACCGTACAATTTACACAGATGCATCTAAATCCGAAGACAGAGAGGAGGCATCAATCGTTTCTTTAGAAAACAATCTTCTTTTTCGTTTACACCCAGCATGTAGCACATATTCAGCTGATCTCTACGCCATATACCGTGCTGTGAAACTTCTTAACGAGCTTATACTCACAAAAGCCCTGATCATAACAGATTCCCTCAGCTCTCTAAACTCATTAAAGCACATTTTTTCCGAAACATCCTTTTGAAAAGTTGCTAAAATACCAGCTTTCCCAAGCTCATGAACATAGAAGAAGCGTCCAATTTTTATGGGTTCCTTCACACGTGGGAATAACAGGAAATGAAGACGCTGACAGGACTACACGAGAGCCAATTTTAAGTGATTTGTCGGAGCCGATAGACAAGTGTGTTTCCAGTGACTTAAAAGCTTATTTTAAAAATAAAGTGTGGTGTTTGTGGCGAAATGAGTGGTCTCAAACTAATTCCAATCCAAATAAAAATCAAAAATAATGTGTCTGAGTGGTTTTCATCGTCGCGCAATAGACGAGAACAAATTGCAGTTGCGCGTTTACTTCTAGGACATACCAGATTAATGCACTCCTACCTTTTCACAAAGAAAAATCGACCTATATGTGATCAGTGTAACGTCCGATTAACAGTGAAACACTTTTTAACAATTTGTAGTAAATATGACTAAGAAAGACAGCGCTACAAGATCCCAAACGCTCTACCACAGGCTCTAGGTCAAAACTGTTCCTGTGACAATAATATAGTGAATTATCTCAGATCTATAAACATTTTGTACAATCTGTAGGTGTTTAACTTTGTTATTTATATTTTGGTCTGTCACTAATAAACTTTTGGTGGATGCGACATCTTTTTCTAATAAAGAAAAATAACGTGACGGTCAGAAGCTTTCACCGCCTATTTATCTACTGGTCAAGATCAAGATCATCAAAAATGACACTTCCTGTCTAACAATATTTTGCCCCCACTACCTTTACATCCCCTCTTCTGTCTTTTTGCTCGATGCTCTTTTCTGTAAAATATTAAAATCTGACCACCAGAGCGAAGTAAAATATGTCTCATATATATCTCATTTTGATTTTACCTCAAAATTTTGGAGACATGTCAGTAAAATTTTAAACAATGTTTTGTGTGTCTTATTTTTTATTATATTGAGTTACTTTATTATTGAATCTTGTTAAACGATACTCCTACTACAATCAGTGTGCTGCTACTTTTCTAATTGAACAATAAATATGAGTTATTTATTGAGAGATTCAAAGAAATTGCGTGGGCTCGCTGACCACTGACCTCCCGTTAACTACCACCAACACGCCGATGATAGAAATAATAGCTTACTCTCGTGAGCACGAGAATTATTATATGTAATGAGGAAGTCGGAATGAAACAACGGGACACCCTCTGGTGATGCTGACTGACCGAGCAACGACGAAGCTGTCCAGCGGAGCGCGATGACATTCACAACCATTAAATCTGATGCCCCTACACTAACGTCTGAATAAATGGATATCACTATCGTTTGCTTTCGACACTATACTGTAGAGATGGTGGGAGATGGTTAAAGGGATAAATAACGGTGCTTCTGATTACACAACAAATGTGAAAAATAAAAATATCTGTATTTAATAAAAAAAAATAGTAAATTTTTACCCAGCATATGATACAATGTCATGATATATAATTATATCTAAATAAAGAATACAATCTTTAATCAAAAAACAAACAGTTTAAAATAAAAAATAAACTATACATCGATGCCTTAAAGCACACTTATTGTATGTCCATTTTTTTCTATTATTGAGTTATGCACTGTACCCTGATGGCCTCCTAACAATCTATCATCCTGCACAGACATTGCATGTCCTAAAGTGTTTGGTGTGGTATAAATGACATTTTAAAACTGTGAATTAAGCTCAAAAATGTATTATGGAAGGAACAATTGTTGCATGTCCATACAATATCTGTGCTCTTAGCAATCAAAAGAGAAAGGCAGAGTATGTCCATTACATGCAATAATTGAGCACAAAATAATATGTCACTATTAACAAGCCAGCTGGAACATTA